AAATTTTGTGTGCGTGTACTGTCAAATCAGATCTGACTGGTACAGGAGGATATTGCGCCTCCTTCTCCGGCAGAGCATCTGGTGGATTCGAACCGTGTTCCTCTGGGATTGCAGTGCAGCTTCTTGCCACTAGGCCACCAGAGCTCCCAATCAGCTTCAATTTGAACAGCAATTAACTCTGTTCTCTAGCTGGTCCTTGTTTTGCCTTAATTAATATTACATTGTCTCCTACATGGATGTAGTTAATCTCATTCGTGTACTACATACAGTAAGAGCCACCTGCAAACTCAACTATAGTTTCTCAACTCTAATGCTGAGAAAACTTCTGATAAGTAAGTCATTAGTACTGGGGAATTCTACCACACAATCTCTTATGCAGCTTTTATCACCAATACTATTGTGAGATAAAGAATTCAACTTGTCCTTTGTGTCCTGAGGGATAACTTTAAAAAATTCCTGAGGATCTAAGGTGCACTTATTATTTTAACTTTTACACTACATTTGAAGAAAACAAAAAGCAAAGTCACTGCTGATCCAAACTCATCAAAATCCTTCAGGACAGAGTCAAACAGCCCCTACAGTTTCTGAAGCTGTAAGTCTATATTGGAAACTGCTTCTTCTTTTCCTGTGGAGCAGCTGGTGAGTGTGAACCACCAATTTTTCAGTTAACTACTTATCTATTAATACAACGTACCACAAAGACTCCATAAAACTCTCACATCAACTCAGGAGAGAAGGAGAGGTGTGATTTAAATCAATTATCCATATTTAATGAAGTTTCAATCATGACAGTCATGACTATACCATACAGTCAATGAAATCTCTTGATATGGGCTTTCTGAAAGTTTTTCTCTGATTGGTGAAGGACACTGATAATCCTGGAAGAGGAGGATGCACCACTATAATGTGGCAGCTTCTCAGTGGAAATTTTATTAGACTAAGCCTCATGCATACAATGTGGATTCTGACTTGCACCATTTTTCTATATTAAACCTGTATTTTAAACACAGAAATTTTGTAGAAAAAGATCTGTGACTTGCCTAAGCTGTGAGGAGTAGTGGGGTTCAGCAGATGAAACCAAGTGTTTCATGGAAATTTATAAGTTTGGACCTGTCATCATAAAGAGAGACTCTTTGGTGAAGAGACAAATGCATGATCTGGAGCCAGGAGGTAAAAGTAAAGATTCCTGAGCTTGCAGCTGGGAGCCTGAAGGATACTGTACTTTGGTTTTTTTTTGTTGTTGTTTTAAATTTTATTTTATTATTTTTGAGTGAGTGTACCATCAGATCTGATTTGACTGGTACAGGAGGAGATTGTCCCTCCTTCCCCGGCAGAGCATCTGGTGGATTCGAACCGTGTGCCTTTGGGATTGTAGTTGCAGCTCCTTACCACTAGGCCACCAGAGCTCCCTTAGGATACTGTACTTTGAACCTGAGAGATGTGACATAGCTCTCAGGAGACAGAGAGAAAGAAGGGTCATGTGTCTAGATGACTGAGAAAGGGAAAAATAAAAACTGGTATATTAGTAGGGAATAGAATCGATCTATCAGATTTCCACATGAATCAACTGGTATGTGAAGCACAATTTATAATCCGTTTTATGGCCATAATCTCTGCTGGTCTTCCTTTGTTTAAATTTTTGCATTGCAATCACTATTAATTATTCTTGCATGCTCAATTAATTTCAGACTAAAGCAGTTTGTAACAAAGTTCCCGTTTCCTCATTTCTGACTGGTACAAAAGAAAACAGACATTTAAGTTGTCAGAGATAATGAATGTACTTGCATCAGTGATTCCACAATACAGAAGCAGCGTCACAAAACCGAATGGCTTACTACACAGAGCAACGCTGCTGCAAAATATCTCTTTAAAGTTTTAAAAAGCAAAGCTGTCATTTTGGTTACTAAACTGAATCTCAATCAAGTCATTATATTCTTAATTGTGTCAAACCAAACCAAACCGAGTCTTAGGCACACTACGAACAGAGCACAAGTGCCTACAGGGTTTCCAAGTGTGTAACTCTTTACAGGAGCAGACTGCACAACATTCTCCAAAAGACCAGTGATGGGTTTGATTAGTAGACCTTTCACTTAGAGCTCAAGTAATTAAACACTGGACCACCAGAGCTTCAACTATCACTGCTGCATATTGTTGTTGTTGTTGTTATGTGCCATCGAGTCGCTTGCGAGACCCTACGTACAAGAGCTCGAAATGCTGTTCTATCCTGTCAGCCTAGCCATCTCAAACACACTTATTCCCATCTCTACAGTCACAGAATCGATCCATCTCATCAAAGGTCTTCCACACCTTCGCCACCCTTCCACTTTGCCAAACATGATGTCCCTTTCCAAGGACCAGTCCCTCCTTGCAACATGCCCAAAATATGTAAGACAAAGCTTCAGAATCCTTGACTCCAAGGAGTATTCCAGCTTCACCTTCTCCAGGACAAACCTGTTGGTTTTCCTAGCAGTCCACGGTATATTCAACACTCGTCTCTAGCACCACAGCTCAAAGGCATCAATCCTCTTTCTATCAACCCTATTTATTGTCCAGCTCTCTGATGCATAGCACATAACTGGTGAGACTATAGCCCGAACCAGGCGCACCTTAGTCTACAGCCTGACATCGTTGCTCTTCAGTACTCTTGAGAGGTCCTTCACAGCCGACTTTCCCAATGCAATTTGTCTTTGATTTCCTGGCTGCTGTTACCAAGAGTGTGTTGACTGTGGAGCCAAGTAAATTAAAACTGTTAACTATCTCAATCTCTTCACCATCCATGCTGATGCTGCCAATTGGCCCAGTGGTAAGAATCTTTGTTTTCTAGACGTTGGGCTTCAGTCCATATAGGAGGCTGTAGTCCTTGATCTTCTGCAGCAAGCGCTTCAGGTCCTCCTCAGTTTCAGCAAGCAGGGTTGTGTCATCTGCGTAACGCAGGTTGTTGATGATTCTTCCACCAACCCTGATGCCACATTCCTCTTCGTACAGCCCAGCGTCTCGGATGATCTGTTCTGCATACAGATTGAAAAGGTATGGAGACAGAATACATCCCTGATGAACCAACCCCCTTCTTGATTTTGAACCATGTAGTGTCTCCTTGCTCTGTTCTGACAACTGCCTCTTGGTCCAAGTATAAGTTTCCCATTAGCACAATCAAATGTTCTGGGATTCCTGTCAGAGTCAGCCACAGCTTATTGTGATCCACACAGTCAAAAGCCTCTGCATAGTCAATGAAGCACAGATAGACATTCTTCTGGTATTCTTTGCTTTCTGCTAAGATCCATCTGACATTGGCTATAATATCCCTAGTACCACGACCTCTTCTAAACCCAGCCTGCACATCTGGCAGTTCTCTGCTGACATATTGTTCCAAACGTTTTTGGAAAATTTTCAGCAGAATCTTGCTTGCATGTGATATCAACGATATTGTTCGATAATTTCCACACTCTGCTGGGTCACCTTTCTTTGGAATGGGAACAAATATTGCTCTTTTAAAGTCAGTGGGCCAGCTGGCTTTTCTCCAGATTTCTTGGCACAACTTAGTGAGCACATCCAGGCCAGTGTCTGTTTGTTGAAATAAGTCAATTGGTATGCCATCAACTCCTGGAACCTTGTTTCTTGCCAATCCCTTCAGAGTAATTTGAACTTCCTCTTTCATCACCATCTCTGGTGGCCTGATGGCAAGAAGCTGCACTGCAATGCCAGAGGCATGCAGTTCTAATCCACCAGATTCTCTGCTGGAGAAGGAGGGGCAATCTCTGCTTCATATAAAAATTGGATAACAAAAAGTAAGGCAGACTTGATGTGTTTTAACTGTGTGGCTAACAAGGACTACTAAACATACTGTGAACTGTCAAAAGAATGGATTAATAAGTCTTTAAAAGAAAATACCGCTAAAATGTTCCTTAGAAGCAAGGATGGTAAGACTCTGGTTCATTTACTTTGGTTTCATCTTCACGGAAGATTAACAGGATTTCATTTTTGGTAAAGTAAAGGTTCAGGAAAACAAGGGTATGAGATCAACTGGCATAATATCCATATAACTGAATCCAAACATTACCAGCATTATCATGAAGTTGCTACAGGACCAGGCAATGTTTCATGCTAACAGAGAAACAATTGTTTCTCTAAACAATTCTCAACAGTTCTCAACAATCAGAGGTGACTTGATGGCTAAAAGAAATAACTGAAATTTTAACTGTCAGCATCAGGATGGATGGTGAAGAGATTGAGATTGTTCACAGCTTCAGTTTGCTTGGCTCCACAGTCAACACTCTCGGCACCAGCATGCAGGAAATTAGAAGATGCATTGCCATGGGAAAGTCTGCTATTAGGGACCTCTCCAAAGTACTGAAGAGCAATGGTGTCTCTTTGGAGACTCAGGTGCGTCTGATACAGCCTATGGTCTTTGCTATCACTTGTTATGCATCAGAGAGTCAGACAATGACCAAAGAGGATAGAAGGAGAATTGATGCCTTTGAGCTGTGGTGCTGGAGAAGAGCACTGAGGGTACCATGGACTGCTAGGAAAACAAACAGATTCATCCTGGAAAGGGTCAAACCGGGCTGCTCCTTGGAGGCAAGGATTCTGAAGCTCCGTCTAACATACTCTGGACATGTTGCAAAGAGGGACAGGTCCTTGGAGAGGGACATTATGCTTGGTAGGGTGGAGGGACAGCGCAGAAGGGGAAGGCCCCCTTCTGCGGTGGGCTGATTCAGTGACTGGGGTAATCTATATGGTTGTATCGGAGACTTTGCAATTGGCACAGGACAGAGCGGAGTTTAGGGCTGTTGTATATAGGGTCACTATGAATCGCAAGCGACTCGACGGCACATTACAACAACAACACTGGGCTGGCAGGCTCAGTGCTCAGATCTCTCCTCTACCACCTTCCCATAGACAGAGCATACTCTGCTACCAAGGACAGATAACAGAGGCTGTCTGTAATTTGCTGAAGCTTTGAGGAGGCTGACCTGACAAAGAACTCTGGCACCCCACAGGAACAGAACCCTGTTTAAGAAATACAATGTTGACCTTAGTTGTCATTTACCCACATGCAAACGAGTGGGTAGAATCACAAACAAATAAGGGTTATCCAAAGCTTTGGAAAGGTTTATTCCTTTGTCAATCCATGGGGAAAACTTATGCAAGGAATTTCACATGCTAGGTTTAAAATGGTTCAAAGGAAACATTCATTCTACATGCAATGTGGTAGAGGTAATGGGTAGTCTTGAGTCCTGATTCCTAACTGAGTCTTCTCCCAGCGCTCCTGTACTGTTTGCAGATTTGGGCTTCTTACCACCACCCATACCTTCTGGAGTCGAAGGACATTCTGGATGAAGAAACGGTAAGCGTTGTACCAAGGGAGCAGCACATCCTTCAGCACGTCACGAACACCATCCTCCTTAAAGCGGAGGTTTTCTGCTCTCACCACAGGAGAGTTAATCAGGTACAATCTGTTAAGAAGGACAAAACTCACACATTGCCATGCAGTGTATCCTTCAGCAAGCAATACTAAAATTAACATTGTTCTCTAAAAAAATGGCACTTCTAATGAGCAGCTTAAAACAAAAGTTCTTACTTTGTGTGTAAGAGACAGAGACTTATAAAAAGTGAGTACAGTCCAACACTAAAAAATGGATCTAGAACATCCACCTCCTAATTTTCATGCACACTGATCTTCAGTGTTCCAGACATCAGGAATTCACTGCTGCTGAGGTTGGGGCCAGGAGGGGTGGTGGTGACTACAGGCATACATCTTACAAGACAGTACCACACCCAGAACAATCCAGCCAGAATACCAACTGTGAGAAGGTTGACCTGGCTAACAACTGAGAGCTAGTGCGCAGCACCAATAACATTCCTGGGCAAAATGTGTAATTGTGGTGTGCCCAGCCACAAGCCCACAGCCCTCAGTCTGTCGATGAAATATGCATGCCAAGTAACACCTCTTAGTTCCCTTTTAAAGGTTTAAAAATTATTACTATTTTTAACAAGGCAGCCACACGGCAGATACAGAGATGAAGAGCTTTCTGCAGATATTGACTGGCAAGACCATCACTCTTGAAGACGAGCCCAGTGACACCATCAAGAATGTCAAAGCCAAAATCCAAGGCAAGGAGGGTACCCCCCCTGACCAGCAGTGTGGGCCGACAGCCAGAGGATGCCCATCCAGTCTCTGACTACAACATCCCAATAGAATCCTCCTGCATTGGTGCTGTGCCTGCTGGTGGCATTTCTGAGCTTTCCTGTACCAACTAGCCCCAAAGTATACCATGACTAGATGTCTGCTGCCAATGTTCCACTCGCCTGCTTCCCCTTGCTATGAACTGCCACAAGAAGTATGAACTCACCCACAACCTGTACCCCAAGAAGGTCAAATAAGAGCCCCTCTTCACTGGCTCCCTTGCTTCTTGCAGGTGGCCTCCTTCTTAGCCCCATGGCCCTAGAACCTCAACAGTCTTTTTCATTGAAAGAAAAAAATAAATCATGACTATCTCAAACACAGGGGCATTAATAAAATTCTTCCCAAAATTAATTTTATTTGCTTTATCATGTTGTTAGGAGAGTTCAGTCTTTATTTAAAAAAAAAAAACAAAAACATGATGGAAAAGAGAGAAGGTAAGAGAAAAGATAGGAAGACCCTCAATAAGATAAACCAACAGTAACTGTAACTGGGCTCAAGGATGGTGAGGATGGGCAGGATAGTTCCATCTGTTGGTTACAGGGTCACACAGAGTCATAATGAATTAGACAGCACCTAACAAGAAGTCTCATGTGGTACCGTAGAGAAGTCAGTGCAAAATTAAAATAAATAGATGAAAAAGAATTCTAATACCAGTAACACGAGAAACTTGGAAAGGAAATCAAGTAGAAGCAACAATTAACTAGACATATAAAACCTCCTCTAGTTCTTCTAGGGAGCTCTTGTGTTGTAAGTAGCTGTCAACCAAAAGGCACATGACTCAAATCCACCTGCTGCACCACAAGAAAAAAGCAGGCACTCAACTCCTGTGCAATATACTGCTTCTAAAAATCTGCTGGAGGGTCAGCGATGGGGTGATTCCGACTCTTAGGCTAAGGATTAAGTATAAAATGAAAGTAAATGTATGAAAAAGAATTCTATTTCGGGAAAAGTGAAGTATAAGTCAGCACTTGGGCTTCAAACATATGTATTTTAAGATTTAGTGACTGAATATCTGGATTTCAAATCTAAAAATCTTCCTAAAAAGGAATATTAAGCTCCTTTAAGGAGAATCTAGTGATTTGGATTATTTAGAGAAGTACTTTCTAGATTTAAAAATCAACAACTACACCAGTATAATATTTTAGAAAAGAAACAAACTAATGGACAAATATGAAGAACATAATTAAGAGAATGAACACGAGTAACAAAGAAAAGGATAAATACACACAAGTAAAAGCAATACTTTTTTTTACCTGAGGGCATCAGCACCGTATTTATGGATGACTGAAACTGGATCTGGATAATTCTTTTTGCGTTTACTCATTTTTTGGCCATCACTTGAAAAACAGATGGAAGATGCCAATTAAGTCATAACACAGTTTATTCCTTTATGTGGTTACAGACTATTTAGTGCCACTGGTTGATTCTGATACCCACTCTATCTATAAGAGAACAAAATCCAGCCTGATCTGGCATTACCCCACAAGCTCTGTTCACCAGGAGTCAGAACTAACTGCAGGGCCCAGGCTATCTGAAAATAGGAATAGAAAAATACAAATGAAAAAAAGGAGCTCAGAAACAAGGAAATGGTAAAATACTACAGCAAGGTTTCTGGGTTTTTTAATATTGTAAAGAAGGGTGGGAATAGTTCAATAATGATTAATTTTATAAAACAAAATGTATGCACACAAAAACAAAAAATAATTAAGACGTGAGCTCTGGAGGTCTAGTGGCAAGAAGATGTGCTGCAATCCTGAGGGCACACAGTTTGAATCTACCAGATGCTCCTCTAGAGGAGGGGCAATCTCTTCCTGTGCCCATCAGACTCCAATTTGACGGTACACAGCAACATCGACAAAAGTAAATTAAAAAAATAAATAAAAATTTAAGACAATATTTCATATATATTAAGTTCTAAACAAGCAAAATAAATTCACTGTGCTAGAAGTCAGAAGAGATTGCTTTTGAGAGAAGATAGTTATTGGGCAAGGACACAATGAGGAGGTTTACCCAAGAATAATACTACCCCGTTTCTGGATTTTTGTGAGTTATATTAATTATAACACTATTTGTAAAAATTTATCAAGTCTCACATGTGTATTTAGTGAAAATCTGTGCATATATATTCTTTAATAAAAATTTTTAAAGCTAAAGGAGAAAGCAAAAAAAACCAAAAAGAAAAAAAAACCCAACCCCAAAAACCACACTATATGGGAATTATTATATAAAACATAATGTTAATGAAGGAAAGTATGAAATACACACACACAAAAACTCCCTACATACATAATAAAAAACATTATTGGTAATTATTATCATCTCAAAAATGAAGTAAGAGTGATTCAACTAAAGTTTATCAGTAGGGAAGCTTTTAAATAGACTGAAGTAGGGAGATATTATTACATTGTTAAAAGAAATAAACCATATAGTACACTTTTAACAAAGAATATTAACCACCCTTAAAGGGAAACCAAGAAGTGATATATGCTACAACAGCAACATGGAAGAAACCTGAAAATATTATTCAGACTAAGGGGAGGCACCCCAGGAGGCACCTGAGGGATTTCTATTAAGGATGGTGAGATAATCTGGAACAGGAAAGTCATAATGGCTACACAACCCAATGAATGGAACCAAAGTACAAATAAAAACTGCTCGAGCAGAAAACGTTCTGACATAAACGTTTAGACTTCCCGCTAAGTCCAAAACTTGGGACTAAATAAAACTTAGAAACAGGACTGGCCATCCATTAAAAATCCTAAAACCAGAACACAGTCTAATTTAGTGCTGGAAGAATAGCCCCCAGGTTGAAAGGCATTAAAAATGTGACTGGGGAATAGCTGGTTCCTCAAGTAACAGAACACCTTAATGACATGGCTGGGGGAAAAGCCTTTACACTCAGTTAAGGATCTTCATTTGCTGATATGGCAAAACTCAGAATGAAGACAAACGGCTAAAAGTATAAAAAAATAATTGAATGAAGAATGAATTTAGGAAAATTCAAAGTTGTCAAAAATTAAGTAGAATGCATAAGGATCAACATCTTCAGCATTAGTGAACTAAGATGGACTGGAATTAGTTATGCTGAATCAGACAATCATATGAGCTACTATATCATGAAATGATGAACTGATGAGGAATGATCACAACATCAACTGTTAAAAAGAACATTCTCTAAGTGGTGAGCTCTGGTGGCCTAGTGGCAAGAAGCTGCAACTGCAATCTCAGAGATGCATGGTTCAAATCCACCAGATGCTCTGCTGGAGAAGGAGGAACAATTTCCTCCTGTACCAGTCAGATCTGATTTGACGGTACACACAAAAAATAATGAAATAAAAAAAAAAAAAAAGAACATTCTATCAGTAATAGGATTATATAATACATGGAATAGGAATATACAAGCAAGGAAGATGTTAATACTACCACTCTACAGATATATATAATAACAACTAAAGATAAACATGAAAAAATTGAGGTTTCTATCAACTTCTGCAGCATGATATTTATCAAGCATGCAATCAAGATTTATTAATAATAATGGGTGACTGAAATACAAAATTTAGGGGAGGAGACATTAACTAAATGTAAAAGGAATTCACTTGCCTTGCTAGAACCAGTCCATTTGCAATAACATTCTTGAAAGCTGGTTGTCCAAAGAGAGCTGTCGCCAATACTAGCAGAGTATAAAACCTGAAAACAAACAGAACCAGTTCAACTGAGATGGATTACTTCAAGCATAGGGGGAAAAAACCTTGTATTCATTTATTTATTTGACTGACTCTCAATTTTTGGTAATTTACACTTCCTAACAATCAGCTTTAAAAAAACCCAAACAGTTCTTAATCCTGGTTACATACTTCAATCACCTATGAGCACTGAAAAATTATTTTATAAGCCAATTCCAGAACAACCCTCTGCATAAGCACTAGTATTCCTATGTTTATTTTTGTTGAAGGTTCAGAGCAGGGAAGCACTAATTGAAAACCAATAGAGACTTGTGGGAGTGTTGGACTCACCCTCTCCTTGCACAGTAACCCTGAATACTAGATGACAGCACCACCCTCCTGTTCGTTTAGTGTCAGCTTAGAAACACACGAAATAGTTTCTATATGATCTGACAAACCTGTGTATGCCTAGCCTTTATACTTTAAGTTGAAAGTAAAGGAATTCATATTGTAAACCTAAAAGCCTGCATTTTTCAGTTTCGTGACTTTGGTGATCACCTTTAACAGCTTCCAGCACATAAATAGTAAAACTCTACCTAAATAAAATCAAGTCAGTAAAACTACTTGATAAAGAGTAAACAATATACCATCCTCTGGTTTGATCAATGCCTTCAGCAATGAAGTCTGCAGGAAAAGTATCTTCAAACTCCTTCTTATTTTCAAATGGATAATGGACTTGTGCATAAGGCATGCTGCCACTCTCAAACCAACAATCAAACACTTCAGAGATCCGATGCAACGGTCCCTTCCCACAGCGTGAAGGAATAGTCAGATGGTCAATGCTAGCAAATACAAAAATAAGTAGTTTCTCTTTATGTTTTTTAAACATTTTCCTGTGATTTCAGTAAGAGTTAACAGAACAAATTAACCTCCCATAAAATAATTCGCACACATTGTTTCCCAACATTAGATGCTTCACAGCACTCTTGAAGTCTTACTTTTTCTTCCCGAGTACCCCATTTCCAACTGAACTTTTCCTGTCTCCTAAATTTTGGTTTTGTTCTTATACAGTTGATGCAGTTATATTAAATACCACAGAATTTGGCATATAATTTCCATTAAGAAAACATGAAGTCCTGATAAATTCTTATCTATATTTGCAAGCAGACATCACTATTATCAAAAGGCTTTCAGGAAGCACTCTAATTCTGAGTGTAAACAGTCTCCTATGCCAATGCTTTGGGATAAATAGCTATTTGACATTTAAGTCAAGGACCTTTAAGTTGTAAGCTGCCCTGTCCTGCTTCAACCCCATGAGCAGTACAAATTAGACTCTGCCATCTACTGGCTGACTTTCAGAAGTAAATGGCCAAGAGGGCACTCTGGTGCCCTCAGATGGTGCTTTGTGGTCTTTAGAATCCACTAGCAGTTCTGAGTGAGAAAGATGGGTCATCTCCTCCCAAGAGATATACAATTATGAGCTTGAGGTTGCTGTGGGGTTTTTGTTTTGCTTTTTAAAAAACTGCCAAACCTTTCTTCACAGTTCATTTTAGCCTGGAAATGCTATGAATCATTCAGCTCCACTGACAAGAGGGACCCAAGCCTGGAATGGGGCACAGGGAAGATGGGAATCCGGCAATTACTACCAACAAGTTAAGGACAGAGGTCACATTCATTATCTCAATATTAAATGACATTATCTCAATGTTAAATGAGTCAGCAAGAAATAATTCTGTAAAGTTACTTTCTACATGTAATCTCCAGAGAGAACACGTTTCAACAGGTGAGGAACTACCTCAAATGCTAAGAGAATCAAAGTGAATGAAACATATGCAGAAACTGACCTCTCTCTGTGGAGATCCAAGATCTTCTCTCCTGATAGTTCTTCAAGTTCTGCCACTGATCCAATGCATACCACCTGTCAAAACAAAGTTAAAAAGGAGGAGCTTATCAGAAGCATGGATCTGACGCTGAGTTCGTTTACACAGCATTCATGTTTAGGTCTAGGTAACCCTGATTTTCTTATAGCGTTCATTAACTTGTAAACCTCTGCTTGTGATCTGATATACACTTGTCGTCAAAGCCATATTCCTTTAACTCACAAAAGGGAAGCAATGATTTCGTAATTCTTGTTTACTTATAGCTACACTGGCTAAGTCCCTAAAATGATAAGTGTTTGCTTTATTTTAAACCATCATAGTCATCAATTCACTAAGTCTAAGTCTACTATATGCAAATATATGCTGCCCAAAAGCCAGCTAAATAATAAGCCCTATTCTATTACCTAATGCGTCTTGGGCTTTTCCTGAAAAATGTTATCTGGCTCTCTAGTCTGAAATCTTTCCAAGTCAAAGCTAGAATTAAATTACGCTTGGACAAGATCAAAATAGTCAAATAAGACTGTAAGATGTTAGATCTATTAAGAAGGATAGCATGTATGGTAAGCTTGAGAAATCAGAACAAAGGAAACAGGCAAGTTGTTAAGCAGACATGTGTGCTACCAGGAAATGGGCAAGGCCTCTCCCTCCATCATTAAGTTCAGTTCTGAAAATTTAAAAACCATTTTTCTCACCCTTAACTCTTAGGTCTTTATGAGAGGCCATGAGGGTCTCGAGCACCACTGCTCTAAAGCTCTCAGAGTATGTGTGAGCTCAGGTGGTCTACTGGTAAGGAACTGGGTTGCCAACCCAAATGTAGGTGATTCAAATCCAATAGATGTTCCATGGGAGAAAGATGTGTAATTTTTTTTCTGTATGAATTACAGGCTCTGAAAATCAGCTATAAGGTCAGTTATGAGTCACTTCTGACTTGACAACATATAACAACATATACATTTAATTTTTTCCTTAACTATACAATTCAAGTAATCTTATGTAATATATTTCCAGCATCTACAATGCTATGAAGAGGTCATAAGCATAATCTTAATCAGTTTAAATGCTTAATACAGAGATCAACAATCTACTATGCACTGTTCATAAATAAAATGTATAACAAAATCTGGGCAACACACAAGGAGAAAAAAACAGTAACTCTAATGCAATAATTTCTCTGAGAAATATATTAACGACATTCTTGATTTTCAAGAATCACAAATCACTGTCCTCCAGTTGGAACAGACTCTCAAGCAGTTTTGCAGACAGGATAAATCACATGGTAGGAGACTGTGCATCTTTCTCATGCAACAGCTAGTGGGTTCTTGCCACCTGCTTTGGTGCAGTGCAGCTCCTTGTCTACTAGACCAGCATGGTTCATTAAAATAAAAAGTTCTGAGTGCTCACTTTGGTAGCACATATACTAAAATTGGAATGATACAGAGAAGATCAGCATAATCCCTGAGCAAGGATGGCATGCAAATTCGTGGAGCATTCAGTATTTTTACAGAAAAGGAGGGGAGGAATGATGTATATTGCATTGAAACAAATGAGGGAGAGAATTGTTTAAAAAGGATATATGAATGGGTATTCTTGTCATTACAGAAGTCAAGAGTGAAGGTTGCATAGTGGAGTGGACTTGGGGGGGAAGGGATTATAAAACAATGAAGAGTTTTTCTTTCTTTTCAAGGAGAAGAGTGAATTGGGGGAAAAGTGGGGGAGGGAGAAAAATGTAACAATGAATGACCTGAACCCAAAGTCTCTGTAAACTTTCATTAAAATAAATTAAAAAAAATTTTTTTTTAAATCTTTAAAAGTATAAAACATATTCCATCATAATTTTATTAAGTGAATACAACTGAAATAAAGAAGCAAAGGAAAAAAGAAGCCATATCCTTCACACTAAGATGGCATGGACAAAGTGTCTCACCAAAAATAAAGGCAATAACCCCCAACCTTACCTCTTGGAAGTCATCACTGACCCACAAGGGAATTGGGGTGCCCCAGTATCTATTTCTGGAAATTGCCCAATCACGTGCATCTTTCAACCAATTTCCAAATCGCTTCTCTCTCACAAACTCTGGAACCCTACAATAAATCAACCATCTATTTAATCATATAAATACATTAATAAGTAAAAATTATAAATTATGCCACCAAAAGCCATAAATCACTGTAGACAAATGTCAGCAACCCTCAAGAGCTTAAGCCCCAAAGGATAAAAACTATGAGGTAGACTTATGAATCTTCTATGCAGTTGGTTGGGCACTGGGCTGCTAACTTAAAAGTTTACGGTTTTGAACCCACCCACTGTGCTGTGGGAGAAAAGGAGGCACATCCACTCCAATAAAAATCTACAGCGTCAGAGACTTTTTAGGGGATTTCTCTGAGTTGTAATCAACCCAATAGCAGAGGGTTACTACCTTACTGAAGTCTTAATATATATGTTGTTGTTAGATGTCACTGAGTCATAGATGACTCATAGTGATCCTGTGAATGAAAGATCTGAACACCTGTATAATTTCTGTTTCTCCACATTCATAGTTTCTGGAGGCAAGCTATTTTGGAAGTGGATGCCATTCCTGCTTCCAAGCTTGTTTTATTCAGGAAGCTCCACCAAACCCTGTCCACCATGGGTAACCATGATCACATTTGGCACATCTGTGTCACAGTGTTTAGCATCACAGCAACCATGAGTTCCCTCTGTAGTGCAAACGGACAGACATGAGTATTAATATTAGGGAAAATCATGAACCTTGTACTTATAAAAATAGAAAAAGTGATTTTAGAGGAGAAGTTGGGGTCACTCGGAAGCTAACTGGAATGACTGAAATGATTTCCCTTGCTGAGAACCTCAGGAAGCACCACTCAAGAAGAACATGCAGGAGCAGCACAAGTTCTTCCAGACTCGGGTCTCTCTGCTAGGAAGCTCTGAGACACCAGAAGGCCAAAATACATGAAGGAAGCAAGGATCTTATTCCAAAGCACGAAGCATTGATACCCTCAATTTGGACTTCCAACTACTAAACTAGAAAAGGTAGATTTCTGCTTGTTAATTGTGCAAGCCCACCTGTGGTATGTATTTCACCAGGCCTAGACAGTTAATATTATTAGAGAGAAAACAGGCCTTCCTCCCCTGGAGCCAGCACCCTGATGTGGACTTCTAATATCCTGAACTGCAAGAAAATACATCTACTTGTTAAAGAAAAACAAACCAACCAAAAACACTCCAAAATCCTACCTTCCTTAGGTCTTTTGAGATTTTTCCTAAAACCAAACACGTGTTTTTAGTGCAGTTGACTCTGGGTCGGACTAAGTAAGTATTAAGCCTCTGAACTCTAAGTAAAACCTATTCTTCTGTAATTCACAAACTCAGATTTTGTTTCAATTTTGCATCTACAGCTTTTAAATAAATATTTCCTTATAGAAGAAAACCTGCTAGTCAGGATACTCTTCATAAAGCTTATGTGCAGAAGATAATCTCAACAAGTATAACAAGTAGTTCATGTAAATGCAGTTTTATGTATTTGATTATCACTGAAGATATTTATCCATAAAATGACTACCACATAAGATTAAATGAGTATACAGTTTTATTCCTCAAAAAAAATTCTGTAAACTAATTTTCTTATTTCTACTGGGTCTAAAAGAGAAGAATGGTCCCTTCATAGGTCTTATTAAAATACTACTACTTTTTCTTATAACATTTAATTGTTTTGTGGTCCTGAAAATACAGGGGGCAAATAGGTATGTATACAATACGTAATAAGAGACAGCTACTGAAATTACTAAAATTTGAGGGGAAACACAAAAAGTTACTAATATGACAAAGGACATTAAAAAGAAATTATGGGGGAATGATTTTATGAAACATAATGTGAATGAAGAAGTGTGATATACACTGTTATGAATTTTATATGCAAACTAATATAAAATAAACATTTTTTAAAAACAAGAAAAAATCGTGTTTTGAGGCTCACCAGTAACACAAGTCATTATTGCTCAGCAGTCTGTCCACCATCGGCTCCACACGCACAAACCAGCTGGGCACGGCCTTATAAATCAGAGGAGTGTCTGACCTGGGATGCAAAGACCCAGTCAGATTGAGATGCCAGTATCCGGGACAAATGACACCATACTTACAGTGAGTACTATTCACATTAATACAAACACAGAGAATAGCTCACAAAAGAGGGTCTCACATATTGCAATTTGAATAGTCAACTCATTCCACAACATCAAGAGAAACATAAGTTAAAATAACACAGGACTAGAAAGCAGAATTTGGTGTTTTTGTTTTTGTTTTATTATTATTATTATTATTATGTGAGTGTACCATCAAATCAGATCTGACTGGTACAGGAGGAGATTGTCCCTCCTTCCCCGGTAGAGCATCTGGTGGATTCGAACCGTGCGCCTCTGGGATTGTAGTTGCAGCTCCTTGCCACTAGACCACCAGAGCTCCCCTTAGAAAGTAGAATATTATAGTGTGTGATAACAGTCTAAGAAACAATGTCATGCACACCATATTTATTGCTGCTTTGTTCACAACAGCAAAAAGTTGGAAACAAATGAAGTGCCCATCAACAAACGAATGGATAGAAAAACTGTGATGTATTCACACAATTGAATATTTTATAATGCAGCACTGAAAACCAAAGAACTCATGACTAATTTGTGGGTTGAGGGGAAACTAAGAAAAGAGGGGATAAATAATGTACACAGCATTGAAACAGATGAAGGACAAAACTGTATAAATGGAATATATGATTAGGTATTATTAGCATGACAAGAGTCCAGAATAAGAGTTGCATAGTAAAGAAGTTGGGAGGAGGGGGCTGTATTAACAATGAAATAATTTTTTTTCCAAAGAAAAAATGAACCGGGGAGGAGGGGCACTAGGGAGGAAAAAGTGCAACAATAAATAAACGGAAATCCGAGTTCTTTATAAACTTTCATTAAAGTCTAAAAAAAAAGAAAAAAAGGAGCTCTAGTGGCAAGAAACTGCACTGCAATCCCAGATGCACCAGATGCTCTGCTGGAGAAGGAGGGACAATCTCCTCCGGTACCCATCAGATCAGATTTGATGGTACAAACACACACACACACTTTAAAAATAAAAGAAAGAAAGAAATGATGTCAACCTCGGCAAAGAAGAGGAATGAGGAGGGAAAGAGAGGAGTACTAAAGAAAAGTTCATTATTGGCCTTATCTTTCTAGTATGGTCGTATATTAAAACTTAGTATCAAATCATATTTCTTCTATTCCATTATGATAACTGATAGTTTTCAACTTCCCAGAAAAAAGGAGACTCAACATAAAACATATTTATATGCATATAGCTATTTTCTTTACACAATTCCTGTGGAGAAACATAAGCTGCTACTACATTTGTAAAATTCCATGCATTAAATCTAAAGGCTGCAAAATCAGAGAACAGAAATATCCACAAGCAGAGAGCTAAGAGTAGCACAGTTTCCTCCCACCTCCAGCAGAAAGGGTAGCTGTGAGTGAAGGTGCTGGCAACAAGAAGGCGGCCATGCTCCTTCAGGGTCCTGATGATATTTCTATCAGCATCCTGTTAAAAAAAAACACTAATTTAGCCATTAAAACATCCTATAGCAATCAATGATATAACTAATTTTATAATATTCTGTTACTCATGTTGTTAATCATAAAATAAGAAATTATTATTTTTATTCTATGTATTTATATTTATATATTTATTTTCTATTATTATTTCAAAACATACAAACATAATAATGTATCAGGAGTTCTCAAGTACATTCAATAACATTTAAGTTGGCAAACTTATTTCCCGGTCAGTACTGACCAATCCAAAGTTCAACTATGAGAGCTTGGTCACTCCTTGGCTTCCTCTGAAGGACTTGAGGTCACCTCTTCCTGACTCCCATGACCTCGGTCACTACTGCTCCACAACATTTGTTTTGTGGAGGCAATCACTGGCCTTACACCAGCCTTTCTGCCAAGGCAGCATTAATGGGGGAAAGAAAATCCCAGAGGTAGAACCTACTTTAACAGAAACAATCTAATGAAAGAAGTTATCAGATAAACCTGACACCTTTCAATTTCTCAAAAATTACAGACCTTTATATATTGTCCCACAAAATCTGTCACTTCTGCTGTGAAACACCCTGAGGCATCAACAGGGCAAATAGGAAGTGAGTCTTTCTGAATAATGTTGAAGTCCATACAGACCCTATAGTCATCCTGGAGGGAAAAAAAGAGAAGTGGTAGAAGGAGGTAAGAACAAACCATTTGGGTAGGGGAAGGTGGGGGGTGGGCTGGGTAAGGGTGCAGGGGAAGTTAGAGAAACACATGGAATAACATCATTAAAGAAAGAGTGAGTGGGTACAGAGGGCAGGAGGGACAACTGCATTTTGACTGCTCAGGTTCTAGCTTCACTCAGAATTTCTTTGAAATTCCTTGAAATGAGACAAGTTTATTTTATGTACATTGTTATTGTTGTTATGTGCCATCAATTTGCCTGTAATGCACAGCAACCCCATGCATATTAACCCTGCCCTATCATGAGCCAATCTCATTATCTCTTCGACAAACCTAACACCGTTTCTCCAGTCAGAGCGTCTTCCTCTTCTTCACTCTCCCTCCATCCTTCCAAGCATGAAGTCCTGCCCTAAGGACGGGTCCCTCCTGGCCTCATAGCCAAAATATACGAGCCAGAACTTTAAAATCCTTGCCTCCATAGAGTAGCCTGCTTTCACCCTCTCTAGAACAGACCTGTTTGTTCTCCTGGCAGTCCATAGTATGTTCAAGACTCTTTTCCAACACCACAACTCAAGGGCATCCGATCCTTCTTTTCTCATCTTTAGTTCCTGTCTAGCCCTCTCATGTATAGCAAGTAATTGCAAACGCTATGGCCTGGATCAGGTGCACCTTAGTCTCCAGAAGGACACAGTTGCTCTTCAGTACTCTAGAGAGGTCCCTGACAACAGACTTCCCCAATGCAATTTATCTTTAGGAATTAGAAAACTCACAAAGAAAACAAAAAACCCTGTATGCCCTACCAAACCACAACTGGTTTAACCCAACACATTTTACCCTCAGTTTACGGCAAAAGGGAAATTCTAGCTGGGAAAATTCAAGTTTTATGACCTAGAAAAGAAGTAGATTTTCATGGTACACAGGAATTAAGAAGCCAAGACCGTGCTCATGGCTCACTAAGCCTCTGACATTTACTTCTTAGATATATGAGATAGACACTTACGGCACCGAAGTAAGGAGCCTGGTGCACAACGCCAGTGCCTTCCTCCTCCGTCACGTAGTTGTCCACAAGCACTGTAAAGGCACCATTCTCTTTACACTGGAAAAGAAAGGCTGGCAGGTGTAAACAATGAAATGATTGTGTGCTGGGAACACATGGATGAAAAGAGAGCTTAATGTAGGTAGGAAAGAAATAAGCTGTTTCAGTATACCTAATTGTATAAAACACGAAAAATTATTCTCACTTAATAATGAAAAAAAAATTTGAAATCTTGAAAATAAAAATATTTGTTACTTCCTGAGTTACAAATGGCGTTTTTATTAGCTTTCCTATCTCGCAGGCAAATTCCAATATGCAGCATCATCTCAGGTCCAGAAAACGTGCTCTCAAGATATATTAAATAAAACTGAGGAAGGAACTTCTGCTAGACTTTGCCTGTTCATACTTTTACTGTAGGTGAACAATGAAAACAGTTATAATTCTAACTGCAGAGTCTCTGTTGTCAGAAATAGAAAATGACATAAAACAGCTTAAACTGTGGGGTTTTAAAATACATGTAAAATGTACTGTATGAGCTGTATTGTGATACTGAGATTTAAACATCCACTTTATCAACTTTCTCTAAGTAAACTGCATTTACTTTCACACATTTTATTCTGAATACTATCTGAAGACTTTTTAAACAATTCAACTAACTGACAAGCTCCACTTATAGCTGACCCTCCAGCAGACTTTCCAAGGCTGTAAATAGCAGGAGAGAATTCGCATCTTTCTCCCATGGAGTAGCTGATGGATTCAACCTACCTACCTACCCATTAAAAAATAGCACAATCCTTACGCACTAGGCCCACTGTTGTTGTTGTTTGTTGTTATGTGCCATCAAGTCGCTTGCGACTCATAGCGACCCTATGTTCTATCCTGTGCCAACCTCATCGTCTCAAAACAGACTCATTCCCACCACTCCAGTCACAGAATGTATCCATCTCATAGAGGGTCTTCCTTCCCACTCTCCCAAACATGATGTCCCTCTCCAAGGACCAGTCCCTCCTTGCAACGTGCCCAAAGCATGTCAGACAAAGCTTCAGAATCGTTGACTCCAAGGAGCATACTGACTTCACTCTCTCCAGGGCAAACCTGTTTGTTCTCCTAGCAGTCCATGGTATATGCAACACTCTTCTCCAGCACCACAGCTCAAAGACATCAATTCTTTCTAGCATCACGAGTCACTGCCCAACTATCCGATGCATAGCATGTAATTGTGAAGACCATAGCCTGGATCAGGCGCACCTAAGTCTCCAGCCTGACATCACTCCTCTTCAATACTCTTGAGAGGTCGCTCACAGCTGACTTTCCCAATGCAATTTGTCCCTTGATTTCCTGACTGCTGTTACCAAGAGCATAGTAAACTAAAACTGTAAACTATCTCAATCTAGGCCCACTAAAGCTCCTTTATATACATCCATTGTCACTGTTCTTAGATGCTACTCAGTCAATTACCTCTTACAGCAACCTTATGAACAACAGATCTGAACCATGCTCTATCCTGTGCAATCCTCAGGATCTGTGATATAAGCTCAAGCCCAAGGATATAGCAACTATGATAATTCACCTTGTTGGGGGGATTCCTCTCCTTCACTGACTCTTCACCTGTCTCAGCATGTCTATTTCCAAAGACTGGTCCTTCTGATAAAATGCCCAAAGTACATGAGATGAAGTTTTAATATCCCTACCTCTAAGGAGAAGCTTAGTTGCACTTCCTCCAAGACAGCCTTGGTTGCTCTTTTGGAAGTCCTTGAGATATTAAATACTCTTTTCCAATACCAAAACTTAAAAATAGACTCTTCTGTCTTCCTTCCAACTTTATTCCAATCTTATCCTATCAATTTCCAATCTTATTTCATCATTCTCTCCGACTTTTAGATGAACAGCAAATAACTAAAAAGCCCATGGCTTGGCTTGGATCAGGCGTGTCTCAGTCTTCAAAATGACATCATCACTCTTTAGCACTTTGGAGAGGCCCTTCTTAGGAGACTATCCCAATGTAACAGGTCTTTGATTTCTTGAGTGCTGGTATCAGCAGTGTTGACTGCAGATCCAAACAATTAAATCATTAAAAACTTCCATCTTTTCTTCAGCTATCACAGTGTTGCCTATTGGTCTAGTGGTAAGTATTCCTATTTTACTGATGTTAAAATATACTTCACATTGATGGCTTTGATCTGCAGAAAGGGTTTCAAGTCATCTTTGCTTTCAACATGCAAGGCTGTGTCATCTGCCAAATGAAAAGCTGATGAGTCATCTTTTAATCTTGATGACACTTTCCTCTTCATAGAGTCCAACTTCTTGATTCATTTACTCACAAGAGACTGAAAGGATACAACCCTGCTACTACACACCTTTCCTGATTTTACACCATGCAGTACTCCCTTCTTCTGTTCAGACATCACCTTCTTCATCTACAGGTTTCATATGAACACAATTAAATGATCTGCGATTCCTATTCCGCACAATGTCAGCCATAATGTATTATGATTCACACAGCCAAATTATTTTTCATAGTTGAGAAAGTTAAGTATTTTTCTGGTATTCTCTGCTTTCAGCCAAGATCCATCTGATATCAATGATGATAACCCCTTGAACCATAAACTCTTTGAATACAGCTTGAATTTCTGGTGTAGACAGACACACACAAACACAAGTAAGCTCTGGTGGCTTAGTCGAACTGCCAACCCAAAGGGGTATGGTTTTGAATCCACCAAATGCTCCGAGGGAGCAGCACAGGCAATCTCCAATGTGATCTATCACCTCTGAAAACCCACTGCAGGGCCAGCTAAAAGTCAGTTATGACTTCATGGTACATACGTGTGTGTGTATATATATATATATATGAACATATACACACGTGCACACACATACTACACATATACATTATTCCTTGAATGATATTAAATTTAAAGTCAATCTTCATGCAAAATAACCAGAATTACCTTTGTTAACAAATGGACTTTTAATTCAAGTCCACACACAAAGAGGATAGCAAAAAAAAGTTTCACACACATTACATCCATTGTAACATGTAAACTAACAGACTGTGAGAAGCCATCAATGATGCTGTCTGTCTCTGAGCTTACCTTTACAAAGTAATCAAAAAGTGGCTTATATTTCTTTCCTTTAAGATAGGCACCAGGAAATCTAGGAAAAGAAAGGTCAATTCACTATTAAATACTCCAACAAGACTGTACCCACATCAAGTCACCACCACCATTCTCTGGCTTGCCTGCTGTTTAGTCATCTATGTTGAATTATGAATGTATTTTATAATAGAACAATTAACTGAGAATTTAAAACTGAGTAACATAACTTTTGCGCAATATAGCTTTATAGGATTTTTGTTTGTTTTATTATTTTTGTGTTTGTGTACTGTCAACTCGGATCTAACTGGTATAGGAGGAGATTGCCCCGCCTCTCCAACAGAGACTCTGATGGACTCCAACCACATACTTCTAGGACTGCAGTGCAGCTTCTTGCCACTAGGCAACCAGAGCTCCCCAGCTTTACAGTTTTTTAAAAGTTAAGCATGCATACAACTCCCCCAACAAATTTATGTATTCACCTTTCAAGAATCTCATACTCATTCTCTACTTTAAAGAGAGCTGATAATCTGGCTTCCATTAAAATGAGCAATTTTCCGCTGACATTATCTACAAAAAAAGGGGAAAAGGTAAAATTCTGTAATATTCAGATTTTTGCTTATATACCCTATATATATTTAAAGATAAGCATCAAAACTCAGTGCTATCCATTCATCTGCTGATGGGCATTTGGGGTGCTTCCTACTCTTTGCTAATGTGACTAATGCATCAGTAAACATGGGTGCACATATATCTGAGTTGTGGTTCTGAGTATATTTCCAGTAGTGGAAATAGTGGGTCAATGGTGTTTCTATTTCCAAATTATTGAGAAAGGACCTTCCACAGGCCTTGTATCATTTTACATTCCTACCAGCAGTGAATAAATTTTGATCTGTCCAAAACCTCACCAGCAAGTTGTCTGCTGCCTATTGAACTTTTGCTATTTTTACTGGGGTGAGATGGTATCTCAGAGTTACTTTGATTTGCATCTCTCAGACACGTAGGGATTTTGAACATTTCTTCATGACTTTGTTTAACCATCTCAAAATCTTCTTTGGTTAAGTGTCTAATTTCAAGAGTTTTTAATTACTCATCTCTAACAGAGGTATGAATCATAAAGCATATTTCAACCTGTTACATCTCTACAGGGTTGTGTGGGGTTTTAAATTTTTTTTAGAGATATCGTTAAATAAACCACACCTTAAATACTTTTGTAACAAAAAGAAATTTGCATTTTCACAATTTTAAAGAAAGTATGTCTAATACATACCATTACTAAATACCCAGGCTCAAACTTACCTTTAATCTTCACATACTGCATATCTGGGTTAACACACAGGGCTAGGTTACTGGGTAAAGTCCACGGAGTGGTTGTCCAAGCAACTAAAGATATATTTTCATCTTCTTCCAACGGGAAAGTTACAAATACTGATGGATCTTGAACATCCTGAAATAAATTGAGGTAAAGTGCTAGGTCACAAAATGCAAAATAGACATTAACAAAAAGGAATTGATTCTAAAGAAAGATAAAACTAATTTTCAGAATAAGTAAATTTTTAAAATCTTTGTGAAAAATTTTATTCACAAAATGTGTAAAAATGAAAACACAAAGCATAGCATTCTAAGCATTAATTTTTAAAATACTTTCAAAAAAGAACCTCAGAATAAGCCCTAAAACTGTTAAGTTTATAAAAAACTGAATAGAACTCAGGAGCCCAAAACTATAGCTTAAAGATATTATCAAATATAACTGACAATGAGCAAATAGCAGAGTACATGCTCCTCAAAATTGGGATATCCTTGGTGAGCTCTGGTGGCCTAGTGGCAAAAAGGTGTACTGTAATCCCAGAGGTGCACGGTTCAAATCCACCAGATGCTCTGCTGGAGAAGGAGGAACAATCTCCTGTACCAGTCAGATCTGATTTGGGGGTACACACACACACACACAATAATAAAATTTAAAAAAAAATGGGATCTCCTGAAAATTACATGCTTATGGGCATCAAAAGAATTCTCCAGAAGAGAAAAATGAGAACCCACAGCATGGGGGAAAAAAATTTGGTAATGACATTTCTGACAGGGAAAAGCAGATGTCAGAAGAGGATCTAAAAATTGCACTAGAATGTCAAAAAGCCAAAGCAAAGGGAAAAATACAGACATGAATAGTAGAGTCCAAAGGGTAGCTAATAAGACAAAGAAAAGGACGATATGCCAATAGAATGTACAAAGAACTGGACTTAGAAAACAAAAAGGGAAGAACTCACTCAGTACTTCTCAACTGGAGAGTACTGAAAAATTCAAGACCTGAGCTGCAATGCCAAAAGATGTTGTAAGTAAAATCTTGAATGATCCAAGAAAAATCAAAAGATGAGAGGGGGTATACAATACTAATATAACAAAAAGAATTGGTTGACACTGAAATAGTTCAGGAAGTAGCATATGAACAAGAGCCAATAGTAATGAAGGAATGAGTTAAAGCTGCATTGAGGAAATGGCAAAAAATAAAGCCCCAGAAATCAATGGAATTTCACATATTTCAACGAACAGAGGCAGCTATGCACGAGAGCCCACCAGTCTGTATTAAGAAATTTAGAAGACAGGGAGATCCAAGAGGGTGGGGAGAGCAGGGCCATTATGGTCTTCCACAGACTTCGGCTTTTTGATAATTGAACACTTAAACAGTTCATAACTGGCCCTCAGTGAAGATCGAGGCTCAACAACAGGAATTCAAGGATTCCCAAGGAGAAATGGGTGAGTCTCGTGGCTCCCAACACCACCCTGCAGAGGTTGCGCCACCCCGAAAAGCTGCTGCATCTCCATGAGACTTCCACAGCCGGAAGAAATGGATTCCCTCACACAGGATGGATGCTGGGCACCGGCCCTCCTCAAGACTGGTACAGTGAAGCCACCACACTGCTGCAAGGTGCACTTAGTCTGGAGAGAATTCCTGGAGCCAGGATGGCGGCTGTCTGGGAAACAGGAACCTGCCGGCCACCCGCACAAGAGGGGCTGCGAACCCGTGGCGGGGTGAGGGGGCGCGCCCCCAATGGCCGCCTGCATAGAAGGTGGGGGATGGGATGCATGCCCGCCATCTACAGGTTTGGGTTTCCTTGGACTGGCCAAAGAAGACGATTACCTATGTATTGGACAGGCCAAAGAAGACAATTACCTATGCAATGGATTGCTGAAAGTCACTGTGAGTCTGATGACCTTAACAGTGGCAGCATGCACAAGAGGACCGACATCCTAAATGTACCACATATTTTGTTCTGTTGAATGCTTCTGCCAAAAGATGGTTAGACCTGGGGGGAGTCTGTTGACAATTCTCAGGTCCCCTTTATCATATATAAAGGGGGAGGGCAGTGACACCTACTTCAAAATATAGTATAACCACTTATGGGGGAGTAAAAGTGGCAATCCTGGGATTGGAAACACTATCCCTGACCACAGAGTCCTCAGTCTGGCGAGGGGACCAGACTGGAGTAGAGGCAATTGGAGGGGGAGTATACCAGCCAGCTCCTGGGGGGTATTGCCCTGCTCAGGATGGGCTGCCCTCGGCCCCCAGCTCGGGGCGAGCCGTCGCGGCCCTCTGCCCGGGGCGCGCTGCCCTCAGCCCCTGGCTCGGGGTGAGCCGTCGCAGCCCTCAGGGTGAGCTCCTCAGTCCCCAGATTGTGCCATCTGACCCCTGGGTGGGGAAGGAGGAAAAAAAAAAAATAAAAGAAGGGGAGCTCTGGTTGCCTAGTGGCAAGAAGCTGCAACTACAATCCCAGAGGTGCACGGTTCGAATCCACCAGATGCTCTGCCGGGGTAGGAGGGGAAATCTCCTCCTGTACCAGTCAGATCTGATTTGACAGTACACGTACACAAAAATAAAAAAAATTAGAAAAAAAAAGTTTAAAAATAAATAAATAAAAGAATGCCTAGGGTATCCAATGTTACCTAGGCCACCTTCTGCCACCCTCCTCCGCCCCCCAGTAAACCTGAAAGCAACACCCTCAAAGCTCTTCTATTTGTAACTCACAAGTTTGTTCTCTCTAGGTTTGTTCCCTTTCCTATAGGTAACCTTAACTCTGAGTTTTACTCCATAAATGACC